GTGGCTCAGCTGCCATTGCTTTATTACATAGTGACTTACCTACTGTTGCCTCTATTAAACGTCGGCTCAGATTCCATTAGCTGTTATTGAACGGCACCGTTTTTAAAATAAGGCAACAGTAGGTAAGCCACCGTTCAATAAAGCAATGGCAACTGAGCGACCGTTTAATAAGGCAACAGTAGGTAAGTCACTATGTAATAAAGCAATGGCAGCTGAGCCACCGTTTTTAAAATAAGGCAACAGTAGGTAAGCCACCGTTCAATAAAGCAATGGCAACTGAGCGACCGTTTAATGAGGCAACAGTAGGTAAGTCACTATGTAATAAAGCAATGGCAGCTGAGCGACCGTTTTTAAAATAAGGCAACAGTAGGTATGTCACTATCACTATGTAATGAAGCTATTGTAGATAAGCCACCATGTAATAATGCAACGGCCGGTAAACTGGCAGGCAAAAAAACAACAGTAGGTAAACCTATTGAACGGTGGTAACCACCATTCAATAATGCGATGGCAGTCATAATAGGCTGTCATGCAATGAAGCGATAACAGGCGAGCCACCGTGCAATAAAGCGATAACAGGTAAGCCCTACAGGTGAACCTATGACGAGTAAATCACAGGTGAATGCAGCCACAGTGAATGCGGCGTGACAGGTAAACGCTCGCGACGATCGTTAGACCGCAGGTCGTGGAAGGTGACACAGGCGAGCTGCGGATAAACGCATTCACGGCAAGCAAGCCCCTAGCCGCCGCGGGTAAACGCAAACATCACAGACGGAGATGCAAACGGGAGGTCGGAGCGAGGTTGAAACTGAAGCCCCGTTCTCTTTTTTTCTTGCCTCTACATTACAGGTGTACTCTAATTACTCTCTAATTACAGGTGGGTAAGGTGGAGCTGCTTTGCGGAGGCTGCGGCCGATGGTTCCACTCGGAGTGCGTGAGCTGTTACATCGGCAAGGTAGTGCCCTTCATGACCAACTACGTGTTCTACTGCAAGCAGTGCAACACCACAGGTGCGTAGCTAATCAACGCATGAGTCCAGGCAACGCAGCGTTGAACAGGGCGTCTGTATTCATTAGAATAGAAGCACAAGTCTTTGTCCGTGTAAATTAAAACTGCTGGAGATTTTTGTTCGAACAAAGCTAAAACTACCTGTGATGTAGTTAGCACCACTGGTGTATTCAAACTGCAGTTATAGGGCTAATTAATCTAATTAGTTACTAAATTAATTAATGTCTACATGCACTACTAGATGTGGCGTGTTTTTACATAGACACTATACCTACCTGACTAGTCTCGGTATCTCGCTGGGTTTGACGACGTCCCAGAGACCATCGCATGCCATCACCATGTAGCTGTCCGAGGGAGTGAGCTCCATGCTGATGACGTCAGGCTCTGCCGTGACGTACGGCTTGTAACACCGGTCTCCTGTGTGCGCACAGAATATATATAAATATATAGGGGTAATATAGGGAATGAGAAAACAATAGTTGAAGTCCAAGTATTGAGTCTCCTGTGCATAGCGAATAGGGTTTATTAGGAAGAATTGACCAACGTCCAAGTATATAGTCTCTTGTATACACAGAACATTCAGTATTGGAAATGAGAAAACAATAGACAATGTCCAAGTATTGAGTCTCCTGAGCATAGGGAACAAGGTATATTGGGAATTAGAAAACAATAGACTTAGTCCAAGTTTCTAGTCTCCTGTACACAGAATATATATGGGAATGTTGGAAATGAGGTAACAATAATGAAGTCCAAGTATTGAGTCTCTAGCGCACACAGAATAGGGATTAGGGACTGGAAAAACACTAGCTAGAGTAACTTAAACGTATCTAGGCTCCCGTGTACACAACAGAATGGGAATGCGTAAATACTAGTATCTACTACTACCAACACAGTGACAGTTTGACGCGTGCTATTTCATGTGTGTGCGCGCATAGCAGGGCATTTACAAGGTGTCACTGACGCGTGTGTGTGTGTGTGTGTGTGTGAGTGACGCAGATGGGGTCGTTGTCGTATCAGGTACTACAGATATGTACCCGAGGTAGTTTTAGGTTGTTTATATTTTTATATAAGGTATGTTTAGGGTTAGGGTTAGGGCTAGGGTTAGGAACTTAGGGTTAGGGTACACTTCTGTAGTACAAGTCTGGTACACTTTGTGTATACATATATGTACCTCGGGTGTAGCACTATATACCTATGAGACAATGATAACCACGTGTGTGTGTGTGCGTGTGCGTGTGCGTGTGTGTGGTTTGGTTTACACCTGTACAGTAGTAAAGCGTACTGACTGACAGTTGTAAATGTGTATGTGTGCATCGGAGCGTGTGTAAATAGTACACGCTTCCTGACACACGTGTGAACGCGTGCACGTGTCTATTTGGATGTCCTAATGGAACAGTATATACTAATACTATATTGATACGTGCACGCGTGCGTGCGTGCACGTGTATGTGTGTATAGCGTGTGTTTGATCCACCCTGATACACGTGTGTGTGTGTGTGTGTGTGTGCGTGCGTGCGTGCGGGCGCGCGTGCGTGCGTGCGCGCGTGCGTGCGTGCGGGCGTGCGTGTGTTTGTGTGTGCAGGTACGCACATAGTAAAGCATACTGCTTGATATACACGTGTGTGTGTGTGTGTGTGTGTGCGTGCGTGCGTGCGGGCGTGCGTGCGTTTGTGTGTGCAGGTACGCACATAGTAAAGCATACTGCTTGATATACACGTGTGTGTATCAGGGTGTGTGTGCGTGCGTGCGTGCGGGCGTGCGTGCGTTTGTGTGTGCAGGTACGCACATAGTATATTATATATACTACTAAATCATACTTATATTATTATCATTATTTATATTTTATATATATTAAATAAAAATAACAGCTCACAAACATCTGAACATGGCCAGTCAATATCCAGCCAACTACTGAAATTTAATTATTAGGATAGTACATTATATAATACTTTCTAATTTTTCGTTATATGTAAATTATTTTATTTACGTTATTTATATCGCATTATCGGCACGGCGCAGGAACGCGTCGTGGTAGATACCGACCTTGGAGAGGTCGCGTCCTTTGAGGTCGAACAGCGGTAGTCGGTGTCGCTGGATGCGCGTGGCGCCTCTCGCAGACAACGTCTCCGTCTCCTTCGGCCATCGTGCTTGATCGATGGTCGTATGCCAGTGAGGGTGACGCGACGCGGCGCCGTAGTCAGCAGTCCCACCACTTATCTGTGTACAAACGAGCTTATATTATTTATTACCTCCGCGCAACGGAGTTGCAGAGGGGTAATGTAATCGCTCTCGTGTGTGTCTTCGTGTGTGTGTGTAGCCAGCAGCTGCAGCAGCAGCCAGCTGTTTACACATGTATACATGTTTGCACCGTTGCGCGATCGATTCAGCACCGAGCTTGCCTCAGGGCGTCCAGTCAGCAGCAGCCAGCAGCGAGCCAGCTGTTATACACATGTATACATGTATTACACGCTCGCGAGGTATGCTTATCTTTGAGTGCCCTCTGTCTAGTTATTATTATGTGTCACGTTATCACTTATACTGAACTTAGGGACGTCAGGCAGTCCACCACTTGTCTGCGTATGTATCTTATACTTATTTATTATTTATATTTTTTATTTCTTATATATATATTTATTATATTTCTAATTTTTATTTATATAGGTATATTAATTTATCAATTATTATTATTTTTATATTATTTTAATTTTAATTTTTTTAGTATTCTTTTTATTATTATAATTTAATTTATATTTTTTTCAATTAGTGTTTAATTTGGTTTATTAGTGTGCAGGGTTATATTCATTTTTAGGTATGTGTAATTTTATTAGTTGATATCTATTTTTTATAAATTATATTATTATTTTTATTAATTTATTTCTTTATATAAATTTATTTATATTTATATATCTTATTATTTTTTTATGATATATATTACTATTATGTATTATTATTTATTATTATTTTATTATTATTTATTTCATGTGCCTTATCATAATATTGTTATTATTCTTACTTTATTATATATTATATATATTATTTATATATATTATTATATGTATATTATATATATTATAATTTATATCAGCCGGCGTTATAATGGACAAATTGTCAAATTGCTAAAAACAATTTGTTATTATTACACCCTGCTATATATGTAGTCAATTAAACATCTGTGGTACATCTGTGTATGATGTCATGCGTGGCGTCTGTGTGTATATGAGATCAGAAGTAACAGGAACAGCTTATACAGGCATAGTAGTTGTTACCGATGATTATTGGATGATCTCTTTCTCCTTGGAGGAACATGATATTGCCGGTGCCCTCCTCGATCGTGCTCGGTGCCTCCAGGTTAGCGGTTTAGCTGCCGTGTGGCACATCTGCGAGAAGTTTGGCTGTTTCGTTCGTGAAGGCTCTCAACACCTGTCAAGGAGCACACACTGAGAGCTCGCTGACAGCACGCCTGCTTGCTAGATGGTCAACCACAGCTAGGCAGTTGTCTATATAGAGGACAGCTAGCAGTGTTCTATATAGGACAGCTAGCAGTGTCTTATTAGAGACAGCTGCAGTGTCTTCTATAGAGACGCAAGCGTGTCTATATGAGACAGCACGCAGTGTCATATATAGGACAGCTGCAGTGTTATATTAGGACAGCAAGCAGTGTCTATATAGGACAGCTTAGCAGTGTCTATATAGAGAGCTAGCAGTGTCTTTCATAGAGACAGTAAT